TTTGTGAAACACAGGAAACCTTGGGAGTTTTTTTGTAATTTGCCCTTTATATAAATCATTCAAACTAAAACAAATCATCGATGGCCGAGTAGTAAAGACTTGCAAATGAGATTTAAGATCTTGAGTTCGAGTCATCTCAAGGAGCTACTGGAGGTTTGCCCAGTTCTTAACTTTAAGACTTCGATATTAGTCGAGGTGCGCACAAGTTGGCTCGGACACTCGGTTATCAAAAATACAATAAATCCCTCATATTTTACATAATTACATTGAATTTCCTTAATATTTTAATTCACATAACAATAATTAAGTCATTTTTCATCAATAATTTGTTACATCATATAAATGAAAAAATAATGTCATCTCTTTTACATTAAAATATATGTTTTACGTTATTAATATTTGTGTCTTTACATCATTAACATTAGTTTAGATCCATTTATCCTTACTAAAAGAGAAGTTCGTGTAATCAGGTCAAAAACTATAAAGTCTGTTATATTTTCTCCAAACATCAAGGGAGGTTAGTGTAATTTACCCTTGATGTTATTACACCAACTTAAAAATATTAAAAAAAAAAAACATTTCCTTTCTCTCTCTACACTTCCAATATTCCAAAACTACCTACATTCCTAACCTTACATTTCACTTCACACCCATCTCTTTCTCTCTCCTTACCCCTCTTTCTTCTAGATTAAGAGTGACGAAGGGGGTGGCACTTCGACAGGGCCGTCCCTGCCCTAAGGCAAGGTCACAGGCATTTGTCCTTAGGCCCCATATTTTGGCCTCAAAAATAGGGCCCCCCCAAATTTAAACAAAAAATTGTTATAGTGTTCAACATAATTTCTTTTTTCTTTTTTTTTGATTTTAAGATCAATTTAAAGGGCCCCAAATGTTTTTATTGGGTCAGTTATATAGTATTTAGCTCCATATTTATTTTATAATGTGTTTGGCCGCATATTTTATTAAAATGAAAATATATAAATAAATAAATAAAAACAATAGGGCCTCTAAATTTTTGGCAAAAAAACTATATACAAATCATATTATAACATAGGGCCCCTAATGATTTGGCCCTAATATATAGGCTCGATTTTTATTTTTTATTTTGGTTTTAGGAATCAATTTAAAGGGCCCCAAAATATTTTTTTGGGTCCATGTATGATTTACTCCATATTTATATTATTAAGTGTCATTTTTGGTCCATATTAATATTAACAATGAATATATATCTTATAAAAAAAAAGTGTTTGGGCTCAAGAAAAATATATATACATACTAATATATGGGCCCTATTTTTTATTTTTTATTTATTACCTTCTTTATCTATTAGTTTTAGTGTGAATATAAAATAACCACAGTATTGCTTCAAATTTTTCCTTTACCCTTTAGGTGTTTCAATCAATTCCTAACAGTTGCCAATTGAGATGTTATATCCTAAATTTTGTCCCTGTTGTTCCATAATTTTGTTTATTTAAATTGTTTTAGTTTATTATATTTTTAAGTTGATATATGTGGAAGGAAATTTTTTGTTGTATATCCAAACAAAGTACAAGAAGAGACTCTGTAACTTAATTTTTTCGTTTTTATTCATGAATTTTTTTCAATATAAAAGGGCCCCCATTTCCGAAATTCGCCTTAGGCCCCGACGAACTCAGGGCCGGCCTTGCACTTCGAAGAGAGGCTTTGGTGGTGATTTGAAAGGACATGTGCCTTAGGTTTCGATAGTGATAAAGGAGGGAAGAGCAGTGTAAAATGCATTAGGGTGGGAAGAGAAGGGGGTAGAGAGAAGAGGAGAGGTTTAGGAGTGGCTCGCAGGTGGGAAAGTGCGTTTCAAATAGAGTTGTGCACGGTTTAGCGCTATACAGATTAAGCATTTTTGTAAACAGTAATGCTATAGACCCAGACATAAAAACCCAAAATTATCCAAAATTTCACATTAATGGTTTAGATTTATTTCATATGTGGACCCCACACTACACTAATTCAATCTTTACGATTCATTCACTTTACCCAGAAAAATCTAGGCAGATATGTCATGGTCCATAACATTTTTGTTTTGCAAAACCAAACTACCTTGGGCTATTTGGAATTTTTGTCAATTTAACAGGTTGTAGATTGGCAGGTTACTAATTGTTTTTGGGGGGGCAAATTACCAACAAGTCTTCTTTGAAAAAAGTGTGATCTATTTAGTCTTATAACCTTTTGTTTATACCCCAGAAGTCCTATATGCTTTTTTTCATCTTCTCTGGCTTCGTTCTTCTGTCTCTTTCTCTTCTTGATTTCCGGCGACCATATCTGACTTTTTCTCTTTCTCTTCTCTTTCTGATATATAGTCACCGACAACTAACGACCACCATCGATTAGGATTTACTGGCAACCACCAACTACCGACTCGTTACTTCACCCTCACCAACGACGAAGGAAATGAGTTTCTAGCGAAAAAGATGAGTAGATCTACATCAGATACGGCTAGATCTAAACTAAAAATAGTTACCAGAGTATAATCCTCTCCATGTCTGTCTCTCTCCTTCGATATCTCAATTTTTCTACCTTTTTTCTTTTACACCCTTCTCTTTTCCTGTTTTAAAGGGGGGAAAATTCAATTTCTGAACAAATTGTTTTCGAATTTTAGTTATATACAGTGAAAACTATAAAATTTTACAGTTTCAATTTTTTTGGTGTTGAAATGAATCATGCTTTAAAACTGTAAAATTTTATAATTTCATAACATGTTTTTCAATTTGATTAATAAGGATAAATGCTTAATAGAATCATGCTTTAAGACTGTAACATTTTACAGTTTCAAAATTTGCTCTTCAATTTGATCAATATTGGAGGTTATTTACTTAAACCCCACAAAAATTAAAAAATTGACATGTTTTTCCCATTATTGTTGTTTGTTGTTAAGGTTTTTTTCTTTTTCTTTTTCTTTTTCCCTTTCAGTTTATCAATATTTAGCACATTTTACTATATTTTTTCGATCTAATTTCACTATTTATTCTTCTTCTTTTTTTTTTTTTGGTAATATTACGGACATTTCGGTGAGTCTCCAACGATGTTTTTGATATCCAACGAACATTCTGAACATTCCGGCAACTTCTAGTGACGTTCAGAACACTCCAGCGTTACTCCGTCAAACTTCCGACAACACTCTGACAATTTTCGAGTAATGTGAACATTCTGGCGAATCTTTAGCGACCATCTAATAAAAGTCCGTCAGTGATAGAATATAACCGCGTCTTTAAATTTTTTATAAAAAATAAGATTTTTTAGTAACAATTAAAAATATGTAAGACTAACTAATACAAATATTTTGTTTTAAAACTAAATAGATTTTGAACTTTGTATATAAAACCTACCAATAAAGTCCTCTATTTTTGCAAATAAGGCCACCTATGTGTGGTCCACAACATTTCACACCGTAACTGGACCCTTTTTTTTTTCTTTTTTTTATTAGGCTTACACATTTTAAAGAAAATTAGAACTTTTCTATTAAGGCCTACATGTCCCAAGAATCGACAACCTCAAATTTTACATACATATTTCAGAATTTCCAAATTTTCCGATAAAAATTTTCAACTTTAAACTTTCATAAACATTACCGTCAACAATGTTCAAACCAAAAAAAACAAAAAACAAGAAAAAGTTCCCAAAATTTGAATCATGTAAGAAAATAAATCCGGAGTTTTCAATTTTATCAATTTAAACACTAAACTTTTGATTTGTTTTCAATTTAAATTATTTGTCTATTTTCATTAAGTAAAATCAACAAGTTAAGAGTATTTTAGTCATTTAATTCAATATAAATATACATAAAATATTTAAAATGCCCTTTTTATTGAGTTTAATAACTAAAATTATCTATTTTTTAATCAATTTTACTTAACAAAAAATGAGAAATGATTTAGATTTAAAACATATCAAAAGTTTAGAATTTAAATTGACAAAATTAAAAAGTCATAATTTATTTTGTTACAAGGCTCAAATACTAAATTTTTTTTTTTTTAATTTCCAAAAAAAAAAAATCATCTAAAAGACAGATTACACAACGTTCAAATAACCAGTTGTAGTGGGGAAGCCAAATCACCAAATTATAAAACCATATTTTACAACTTCGAACTTTCACAAGCATAGAATTAGCCATTGCTCAAACGCATACATTTCACAACTCAGAAGGGTGTGGGTTGTGCAGATTGCAGTAAAAGTGAAAGTGGCAGTGACAGGGAGAAGGAAGTTGCTGTGAGGGAGGGCTATATGGGGGGTGATGGTTCAAGGGGTGTTGCAGTGGGGGCAACCGGGAAAGGTGTGGGATATACAATGAGGAAAGGCGAAGGTGGGGAGATTTGTTGGAGAGGGATGCTTGCTTTAAAGGAGGAAGCCGAGGTAGGGGGAGATCTGTGAGAGAAAAGGGTAGTAGTACCTAGGTGTTTGGTCGTCAGAACTTCAACGCCTTAGAGAAGGTAAGTCGGCGATGAACAGATCAAGAGAGAAGAAAGACTATCAAGAGTCACTCCGTAGACCCAAAAGGTAGCCAGTGACAAAAAACTATGAATCTGTGAGAGATCTAGAGAGAAGAGAGGTGATGGAGGAAGCACTCTCTGTCAATCAAGAATGATCCGTTGTGACAGGGTTTTGCAGGAGTGATTCAGTGGGAGGGGCTGCAAAAACATATCATACATATATTACATATATGGCATGAAGGGGAGGGGAGGGGCAGGACAGGGAGGTTTAATGGCAGGATTCAAATCGCCTCTGAACTGAGCAACCATAAAAAACAAATTCACCCACCCAACCCACACCACTACAGGAGGATTGGAGCAGGCCAGTTGGGAATGTAGAGAAATTTGTTGTTCAAAATTTGAAAGTTTCAATCAATCTTCAATGATATAATTTTATGTAGGGACAAAATCATAATTCATAATTAAAAATTAAAAATGATGGACATGAAAAGACAAATCTTGTAAATAGGAGCTCACCTGGTAAGATGGCTCAAACAAATGACATATCCAAAGATGCAAGCAAGACGATATGATATCATCTTCCTTTATTTTCATTACTACCAGACCATTTGTATCCAAAAAAGGAAACAAAGTATGATCATATCTCAACTGTGAAGAAAATGTAATCAAGCAGCAGCATGACAAAACAGGAAGACAAACCATTTTCAACATGTTCAGAAACTTGCAGCCAATGTATATGAGTGCAATTTGTAATGGACCATATATATAGAGTTTCATCCACATATAGACCCATATAAGTCTATGCACAGCACTTCTTCAAGCTCTAAATCACATCAGACCATAAGAAGAAAAAATTTGTATATAGTTGCTCTAAATCACCTGGAGTCGAGGCTAATCCTTGATATTATCTCCCTTGGCAACTGGTACAGATTTAGTGTCCGGTGACGGTGAATCGAATATTGACATCAGTTTAGACCTATACTTCTCCTCCACTCCGGCATTTATTCCTTCAACATCCTTGCGATGCAAATTTTCAGGCGAGACTTCCGAAGCAAGATCCTTCTCCGGTAGATGGTAAGAGATAGCAATTAGTGACTCTCGAATCACGTTCTCAGAAGCCTCCTTTCCGGGTTCTTTTTTATCCATAAAATGCTGCAAAAAATCATAACAAGGCATTTCTATTTGAGGGGTAGAGTTGAAGGGTCAATGATGGTATAAAAATACAAACAACAATCTACTACGTGTCAAATGATAGGAAGTTTTGAGTAAAATTCAGTTTGCTGGAATCTATTCAATGATCCTATTTCATAAGAGTTTATCTTACAGGCAAAGGGAAATTCATGTTCTATTAAATTACTGTTTGACTCATGAAGACTCCAGTAGATCATTATTTAGGACCAAAGTAGTGATATCTAGCCCATCGAATGTACTCACCTCTGTCTTCTCAGGAACGACATGAATTCATGGCAGCATTATTCAATGAAACAACCTTGTTCCACTCCTGCTCTTTCTCCATTTTATCATATCATTCTAAAAGGTAACAGAAAGAGAGAACAAAACACCCAACAATTACCGGGGGAAAAGTGTAGATTTATTCCAGTGTCACTTCTTGACTACAACATCGAAATTTAAAGGAAAGGCTTAATTTTAGCATTATGGAAGGGTGGGGATAATGCCACGGTACATTTTTATTATGGCGCCACAAACATTATTGCCAGCTGACATTTTTTCCCTCCTCTCTCCCCTTTACAACATTTTATCACTAAGCTCAACCACCATTTATCATATTTTTCCCACATCATTTCTCCTATCTGCTTTCCCTCTCTTCCTCTTTCCCTCTCATTCTGCATTCTGCAACATCAGCAAGCACACAGCCCAACTACCTGCAAACACCAACCTCAACACCTCCAGCCAACCACAACCACCATCTCCGGCGCCAACCACCACAACAATCCCTCGTTCTCTTTTCTCCTCTCTACTTCTTTACAAAGTATGACGATGTAAGGGATAGGAGAATGCACGAAAAACTCAAACTCAACCCCAGCATCGCCATTCTTCCCGTCCATTGTACTCATCCAGCAGTGCCAACATCTCCGACAACCTCACCCCCCGTCCAGATACCTGCCTCATACTGGGTTTCTTCACCAGGACATTATCTGAACACATCAACCCCAATCTTCAGCATCACCACATGGTTAGAGGGTGAAGATGACATGTCTATACATTGATATCCACCAGGAATCAGCGATTCATTGATCACACAACCCGTAAAGTAAACTCTTTTAACTAAAACCAATAATCGATTTCCAAGGGGGGAAAAATAAAAGAGAAAAGCGAGAAAGAAAACACAATATAAACCACTAGAGCATGAACAGTTCCAGAAAATCAAGAAGCCCCTATAAGACAGCTGAAAAAAAAAAAAAAAAAAAAAAAAAAAAAAGAAGAATGAAAGAAAGAAAGATATGAGACCGCATTGATCAGTTGTCAGATCAAACAAATGAAACAGTAAGAAAAAGATGAAAAAAGCAAAAACCATAGAGTGGAGCTTTTAGAGAGAGAATCAAAAAGGAAGAGAGGGGAAAGCAGAGAGAAGAAATGTAATGGAGAGAGAAAAGGGTGGGTGAGAGGGACAAATGACAACGGAGAGAGAAGCGGAGTGGGAAAAAAGTGAATGATGGTTGAGCTCAGGATAGAGAAAAAAAAAGTTGCAAAGAGGAGAGACATAGAGGGAGAGGTCATATGGTAATAATGTTCATGGCACTAGAAAAAGGTCTCATGGCGTTATCGCCACTCATTACAGAAATGTAGAAGATACACAAAGAAATCACAACCAACCCTGATAGAAGAAAGAGTTTGACTGTTAGCCAAAATAACGGATCCCTGCAAAGACCTCTCAACAGAGCAAGAAGAAAAAGAAGTAAAAGGAAACATCATACTGAACTAACAGATCTAACATCATTGTTGAAGTCAATATTAACATTAAAAGCACCTCTTAATAGTCTTCATCCATGAGAACTGCTAGCCTCTCTTGTTGAACAGCTGTTGGCCAGCATCTCAATATAGTCCCCACTATCATTTTGAAACTCCATAAGCATAGGCCTAACAAAGCTTTATACATTAAAAAGGCAAGCTCCCAAACTCAAACCAAAACTCCAAAATAGTACAATAACAAACATGTTCTCACCAAATAATAACTGAACTAATCATTCTTCCCTCAGAAAAATATTCCTTTCACATATTCTCAAGCCTATTAGCAACCCACAAGAAGTACCGAAAAAGAGATTCTAAGCCAATAGAACTGCCAAACAGAACACTACTAATTGGGGTAATCCTCCTGGCGTATAAAAAGGTCCAATGCTTCCAACAAAATAAATGATTATTCAGCACCAAAGAGGATTTAGCACAAGCTACACCGACTTGGCTTCCCACATAAAAGCCATAAGTTTTATATTCGACACCTCAATGTGTACAAATAGAACACTATCTTTTCTCCTTTTTTCTGCAACAATCCCACAGGTTGAGACAAAGTTTGACCTTGAACTTGAATGATAGCAATTAGGGTTGTTCAAAAATCCGATCCACCCGTTGAAACCACCAAACTCAACCCGCTCAATCAAGAAATGGTCAGTTTCGAACATGGTTTCGGTTGGCTTCAGTTTTCTGCGAGTAAAACTCTCGATTTCTCGGACGAGTCTCGGATTTGTACTTCAACAAACCATAGCACCCGAACCAACTGAAAAATATTAATGGAACATTGAGTTTACACGTCGCGTAATTCTCTTCACTCAGCCTTATCACTTCTCTCTCTCTCTCTCTCGTCTCATCATTCTGATATGTTGTTGGATGGAGACTCTACATCCGTCTCTTCTCTCGTGCACTCCGACACATGAACCATAATAATCACATTTCATTTTTTAATTTTCACCCCAACAATCTGCTATGGCCTAAGATGAGAGAACACAAACCTTGGTTGCTCGAAGCAAGGGTGGGGATAGGAGTGGAAGCGGGGGCGGAGGAGCAAGGGCATACAGAAGTTTCTTAGATTAAGAGCGCCTATGAGAGCGTGTATTTATTTATTTATTAGATATATAAAAATATTCTAACAATCATTATTTACTGTTTAATTGTAATATATGTATTAAAATGTGACTAAACATTAGAAATTCATGTCTACAAATTGTCTTATTAAGTATAAATAAATATTATATAAATAGAAACTACTAAAATAAGTTTGAGCTGTATGTAACTCTAACCCCCCCCCCCCCCCCCAAAAAAAAAAACATGAGATTTATATGTTTGATAGGTTTCTGTCTCAGTTGAGAGCGAGCTTCTTTCTCGACAAAAGTGAGTTTCTTACAAATTTCTTGAGAGCGCAGAATTGTGTTTCTTAGTAACACCACTCGAGTAGAAGGATCTCACCACTACCACACAAACCCTAGCTCCCTCTGTCTCTTCATCTCGCCCTGATTTCCGATAGCAGTGTACTTAATCTCCAATCTTTCTCTCTTCAATGTAGCAGTCTCAAATCTTCATCAATATCAAAAGGGCTGAAACCCCTCTCAAATCATGATTGCAAGTTTGTCCTCCAAGAATGCTTTTGTGAAAAAAAGGGGTTTGCAGAAGAAAATATGAATTTTGGTTTGTATTTCATGTAATTTGGGGTGTAAAGATTGTTTTTGCAGATTGATGTAATTGTGAAGGTCAATTTTTTCTTGTTTTGTTTCTATCTTTCTTGTTCTTATTTGCACAAGGAACTCATCGCCGGTACTTAAGATTTTGTCCTTTTGTTTGTGTCCTTTTTTCCTTTTGTTTGTCCTCTTTCTCTTCTCCTTCTTCACTCCCACAACCGACCGAATCTGACCGCAAAGCTGAATGGTATGAGCTATTTGATTTCAAACAAAGATACGAATGAAATTGGTTGGTCGTATGACCAACGTGAAAGAATCAACCAAACATACTAATTTTTTTCAGCTCATATTTTAGCCAATAAGTCAAAAAGTTACTAAAATAGCCTATTCCCAAACCAACCCTCAGCATCTATCAACCACATTATTGTCCTTTTTGGCCAGGGTTTGCCCAATTGAATTGTAAACCATAAAGTTGTCCATCAATCCCCCAACTTGATTTTTTTTTTTTTTTTTTTTAATCGGCAACAAAAGAAAATTGTATTAATAAAAGGAAAAGAACATAAAGAGAGGACAAGATGTACTCTACAAAAGAAGAGAAAACGTCATCAACCAAAAACTGAAATAATTTAACTATCACAAATCACTTTCAAATCTTTAGAAATTAAAAATTAAAAATTAAAAAAAAATTCCTTAAACGGAGTCAAAACGAAAACCCAAAACGATGCCAAATAATAAACTCTATCCCATATAGATGTTGGGTCATCAAACTTATCTTCAAAGGTCCTTGCATTCCTTTCAAACCAAATAACCCAAACAATTAAGAAGGCAACACGAGAAAATATCATTTTGACCTCCAAACTACCACTCGAAAATCAATTCAACCCCTATACTTTCAATTATATCAATTTTACACCTAAACTATTCAATTTTGAATCAATATCACCCCTGCTGTCTATAGTTAGACAGCACTTGCTGACATGGCATCAAACTTCATTTAAAACATCATTTTGCCCCCCGAACTATCCTTAGAAAATCAATTAGACCCTTAATATAGAAAAAATGATAATAACAATAATAACAATAATAATAATAATAATAATAATAATAATAATTAATTTAAAGATTTAAAAATAATTTTTCATCTAAAAAAGTGGAAAAATAATAATTTTCAATAAAAAAAATTTGAGTATTAGTCCTGTTGAATTTTTTTTAGAGAATAATTGCTAACTTTTGCGTTAAATTATCATTCAATTGATGATACGACCAAGTAAATACTAATCTCAATTTTGTAGGCAAGCAAATCTCAACATATTCATTTTTATCATTCAATATCATTTTTCAAATGTCAAAAAAAGATGTTACTCTCATAATAAGTGTGGTCTAAATTTTTACCACTCAATTTTGAAATTACTATTAGTCGATCAATTCTATTGAAATTAATTTGGAAAATAAACTAGCTACAATTGCGCGTGCACACACATAGAGTAGCCAAGGAATTTTTGGCTCAATTAGTTTCTCCAAGATCGACTCGAGATAATTTGGGACTTAAAGAGACAATTCTAAATGAGGATTTTTATATTTTTTTCAATTTCAATTACTTTTTACAAAGTATATTATTTAAAAAAAAAAAATCATTTTTGAGATAAAAAAAAATTAATTTAATTTTTTTTTTATATTTGGGGGTCTAATTGATTTTTGAGATATAGTTTGGGGGATAAAATGAAATTTAGTGCCACATCAGCAACTTCTGTCTGATTTTAGACGACAACTGACAGCGGGGGTAAAATTGATCAAAAACTAAATATTTTAGGTGTAAAATTGATATAATTGAAAGTATAGGGGTTGAATTGATTTTTGAGTAATAGTTTGGGGCGCAAAATGATATTTCATCGACAACACAATGCCACATCACTTGCTTTCATCAAACCTCCTTTAGGCCTAAAATTCATTGAATTCATTAGTAAACAAGATTCTAAATCCACCCACTGGACATCAATCAACCAAAGGAGATGATGCAATAGATTCAAAGCCACGTGACAATGCAAGTATAAATGGTCAAGTGATTCCTCACTCTTCCTACACATGATGCACCATTGAGGAGAAAGGTAGCAATTAGGCCTTTTTCGCAAGGAATGTTTAGTCAAGATTCTTCCATGAACCAAAGACCACATAAAAAACCTTGCCTTCAAAGGCACTACCGCTTTCCAAATTTTTTTGTGAAAAGGAGAAAAAAGGGACATTGGGCTTATCGACGATTTTATCAAAGAAAGACTTGCATGAAAAAAATACTCGAAGAATGAATACGCCAAATTCGTTTATCATGATCATTAGGAGATAGAGAAAATCCATGAAGAAAAACCAACATAAAAGCCAGCTCACTAACTTTCCAATCATTAAGATTCCAAATAAAACTGAAATTCCATGAAATTTGTGCCAAACAAGAACTAAAGAAGCAATGAACGCATTATGAGCCCAAGCCACCCAATATAAATGTGGAAACTTTACTTCAAGGAAACATTCTCCACCCAAACAACCTCCCAAAAACAAACATTTTCCACATTACCCACTTTCAGGGAAAGAAATCTAAACAAGAGTAGAAGAATATGGATTGGTTTGGGAATAGGTTATTTTAGTAATTTTTTGGCTTTTTAGCTGAAATTTGGGGTGGAAGAAAAAAACTAGCATGTTTGGGATAATTTTTTGACTTTTTACGAAAACATGCAAAAAATAAAGAGAATATAATTTTTGACTTTTTTGTATATTTCTTTGCCTTTTTGGCCTTTTTAGTAACTTTTTGACTTTTTGGCTATTACAGGGAGTTCCCAAACTTACCCATGAGCTATGTTACATGGACTCGGCAAAAGTGTTGGACACGAATACGTGTCTAAGAGTTGGATTCTCCATTTTTTATGATTTTAGGATATGGGGACACATGTTTAAAAAAAAAAAAAAGAGGATATGGCAACACCGATAAAAAGTTGGATACAGGTACAGGGATACATTTATTTATATATTTTAAAAAAAATATGACGAGTTTTAAATACAGCTTTTAAAAAACAAAAAGATAATAGCAAATAAAAATCATTCTAGGCATAAAAATAAAATTAATTAATAAATTCAAGCATTTTAAGAAAAAACACAATGTAGAGGAAAAAATCTTAAAATGAGTAATAGTATTGAAACTTTAAACCACACATACCAATGTACAAATTTTTTATTTAAAAAAAAATTTAAAAAAAAAATAAAAAAAAGATACTTATATCAACTATAAAAAATAGTAAAGGCCATTATCCTTTTAATAAATGAAAGTTTTTTCAGTCTTTTCTTCTGGCCAAAGTTCCAAGAGAAAAGTGAGTCCCAAGAGAAGAAAGAGAAAACGAGAGATAGAGTGAATCCGAGAAGACAGAAAATGAGAGAGAGAAAGTGAGAAAGAGAACGAGAGACATCAATCGATCGATCAAACGATATCGGAGTCTACGTCGGAGTCTTCGTAAAGTCCATCATCGACGACTTCAAAACAACGCCGTACACGGGTATGTCTCTAATCCTCCTTTTCCTTCTTCTTCTTCTTTGTTTTCTTCTTCTTCTTCTTCTTCGTTGGTGGTCATTTGTGGTTGGCAGCGTCCGTCACAAGGATGTTGTGTCCGACTCAAGTCTTGCACCCGTATCCGTGTCATGTCGTGTCGTGTCGTGTCAATACGGGTACTCTGGCCGAAACCGACAAGTCCATGTAACACAACCCATGAGAGATGGATTTCCATGGAGAAAGACAATTACCCCTACTAACTACAAAGGTATCCCAATCATTAGCTCGTAACCCATACCTACTCCTAATAATAGAGTGCCAATGAGAATCACTCAATGGGAAATCTCCAAAGCCATTTGTCAAGAAGAGCAATATTCCTAGCCACAATGTTGCCAAAGGCCACCCTTCTCCTTTGGAAGTGAAACAATCTCCCAACTCACTAAATGATCCTTCTTCCCTTGCTCCTTACCTTCCCCAAAAAATCCCTCATCAATTTTTAAATACTTTTTGCAACCGCACTTGGAATCTTGAAAATACTACTCAACATGAACTACACCAAACAACAAAGCCCTCTTCCACCCCTCCAACCTCCTACCAATCTTTTCTAACATTGATGCCCAAAAAGATTAGTCTCTAGGATTAGCTTCCAATTTGATTGGAAGAGTGATAATATTATCTGGCACCTCCGAAGGTCCTCAATTATTACCAGTGATACTTTAAAGGTTTTTTTCAATTTCTCAGGGCAGATTTAGTCATTTCACTTACCACATTGAAATCAAATCAACAAAAATGATAGCCGAAAACTTGGCTACCCTCAAACCAAACAACAACATGCCTAAACACATCCTCATGCATGTTTCCTTGTGGTTTAGTGACGTTTTAACTTGATTTTAAGAACAAAATCAATTGTATCAGGATCAGTATATAACTTTGGGACTTTCTTTCGCATTGGATCAGCTTGCTCTATAGGCTGCTGGTCATCATCTCTTCATTTGGCTCTATTAAAACTCTTTCCTGCCTTGCAACAACTTCACATGGACAGATCTTGGAATAATGTCCAGTACCTTCACAA